TTTGCCTATTTTAGCAAAAAGTTGAGTCTCTAAATGCAGATGGCTTTTACTTATGCTAAAGAAATGTTTGCTATAGCAAAAACAGTTCACAAATGGCAACAATATTTGATTGGTAGGCCATTTACCATTTACACAGATCAATAAAGTCTCAAGAACATTATGTCTCAAACCATTCATACTCTAGAGTAGCAAAAATGGCTTGTCAAACTTTTGGGATTTCAATATACCATTCAATATCACCCTGGCAAACATAATCAAAAGGCTAGTGCTCTCTCTCGTTGCCATACTTCCAATGCCAATTATAATGCAATTACAAGGCTTGTTTTCTTATTCTTGGATGACCTTTGACAATATTATCATTCCTCTATAAATGGTAATGCATTAATGAAAAAGGTGGAGCAAGACAATAGCTCACCTTTTGCACTTTTTTCTTATAATGGACTCATTTGGTTTGAAGGCAATGTTACAATACTTGATGGGCATGGCTTACAACAAACCTTACTCGAAGAGTTTCATTTTTCCTTAATGAGGGGATATACCGGTATCTCAAAGACTCTCGCTTAATTATTTGTAAACTTTTACTAGCTAAATATGCAAGAATTAATTAAGACATTTATCAAAGAATGTCACACATACCAGTAAGCAAAATATATAACCTTAAAGCCAAGAGGATTGTGTAACCACTGCCCATACCTTCTCACATTTAGCAAGACGTGGCAATGGATTTCATCACACATCATCCAGTGTCCCAAGGCAAGTCTGTTATTTAGGTTGTAATGGATCATTTTTCCAAATATGCCTATTTTGTGGCCATTCCTTCTTTGATCAGAGCTCCACAATTGGCTGAACATTTTGCTAAGGAAATTGCACAACTTCATGGCTTACCACATTCAATAGTCAGTGGTTGTAATCCATCATTAACCAGTCAGTTTTGGAAAGAGTTTTTTAAGCTGTAAGGGACCACATTATGCCTTAACAGTGTTTACCATCCACAGATTGATGGATAATCTGAGGTTTTTAGTTACTATTTTAAAACTTATCTACGTTACTTTGTTAGTGAACAACTACGGCACTGGGTTCGCATTTTACACTGGGCCAAATGGTGGTATAACACATCATTCCATAGTGCCATTTGTATGACGCATTTGAAGCTGTTTAGGGTTTTTCACTTTTTACAATTGCTTCATATATTGTTGGTAGCTCTAATATAGCTTCATTTGATGACAGCCTAAGTAAGAGATAGAATTTGTTATCCAGGTTACAAACAAACCTAGAACATGCTCGAAACTCTATGAAAATGCAAGCTAGTCGTAATATAGCTAAACGTGTATTTAAGGAACGGGATGGAGTGTTTGTCAAACTGCAACCTTATTGACAGTGCTTTGTGGTTTGTAGGCTTCATCAGAAACTGGCAAAGAAATATTTTGGTCCATTCCAAATTATCAGAAAGATTGGCCAAGTAGCTTATGAAGTGAAACTTCCACAGTCTACAAAGATACATCATGTTTTTCATCTTTTTTTCCTTAAAGCATTCCATAAATAGCCTCAACTTATTTCTGTTAAGAATAATGACTCAAATCTCATAATAGATTTATTTGGGATTGGTTAGATATTGCTTGATGGATAATAAGACTTGCAGAAAAAGAATTCTAAGAGAAAAAAGATTCTCAAAATGTAAGTTTGACTTGCAGAAGAAGAATTCTAAGAGAAAAATGATTTTTAATAGGCAAGTTTGTATGCTTATAAATAGGTGAAGTCTCTATAGGATTAGGTATGAAAAAAAGATGTAAGAGAGTTGTGGAGTTTTATGGGATAGACACCCCATAAGACTACTAGAGATTTACATCTTATACGTGTGTATGTTTGTATGGTGCATATGAGTGGACTAGAGGAGACTAAGAAGGTCCACATAGGTATGATGAATGGGTACATATGGGTATATGTTTGTTTGCGTTGAAAGAGTGCACGTGGGATGTATTTGTTTAGATTGAAAATATTCCATAGGACTAAAGGAGATTGAGAGAGTCTATGGGTATTAGTTACGAGTGTTTGATTTGATATTTGTTTATAATCTTCTACAACTAATAGATATTGTTTCTCATCTATAGACGTAGGTCGATTAGACCGAACCATCTTAAATTGTTATCACTTATGTGTTTAATTCATTGTTTGATTATACTTCCGCTGATATGAATTAGATTGGGGCTTTTGGCCTAACAATTTCATGCCCTTTACCAGAGGATGCGATTAATGATCAACCAGTTCTTGAACTTGATAGGATTATCCAAACCAGACAAGTTCAACACAATGATCAATTTCTTAAACAGCTCGTACAGTGAAAAAATCTACCACCTGATGAAGCCTTCTGGGAGTGGGAACAGGACATTGCCTTGCAATGTCCTCACTTCAACGTTAAGGACAAGGTTGCTGCCGAAGAAGGGAGCAATGATAGAAATCCAAGTCTGAATAATGGGAGTCAGCTGCCAGCCAAGGATCATGGCCCAAGTCGTGTCAGAAAAGCCCCTAGCTGGACCAAGGATTTTATAATGGGATGAGAATAGATTTTGTTAGTATGCATGTAATTCCTATACTAGCTGGTGAAATATTACAAAACAGTTATTGTATACCTGGCAGTAAATATATAAGCTGTTCTGAATGGAAGAAAAATACAGAAAAGTTTTCAATCATTCTTTCTTACTATTTTTTTTCTCTCTCTTTCTCTCTCTCCTTTTCTCTGATCTTTTCCCAAATTTTGTTGGCGCGTATCAGTATCATAACTATATTTCTGCAGGAAATATCAGAAATTGCTGTTAATTTGATACAGTAAAGCTAATAAACCATCAATCTCAAATCCTGGGCATCTTTTCTTGAAAACCATGGCAAAATTGCGGCCTTAGGAGAGTTTCACTAATTACCTGAATTTGTTGTGTGAAAGTATTAGTCCACAGTGAGCCTCCAATATATGCATTAATAATATATATTATATAAGCAAATAAATTTGAGGTTGCTGCTCGCTTTGGTAGTGTAAGGCAAGTTATTAACTTCCAACCATGTACGATAGTTTGATCCTTTTTCTATTTGCTTGAATTTACAGGTGTTCCTCTGCAAAGCCACTCCAGATTCTAGTTTTAAAATGTCAAGTGGAAGAAACTAGAATTAGCTTGAACAACATCAAGCAAACATTACTCTGAGCTGTTCTAGAACTGTTGGATTTTCTCCCAGGAATTTGATGAGCCATGTAAGAGCTGCAGTCCCATGACCTGCAACTAGCGTGAAAGCTGTTCCCGGGATTTTAAAGGTCAAGGAAGCAAATGAAGAATAAATGAGTTTGAAATTGACCCTAAACTTTTCCTGCTCATCACCGCTGGGTTCTATGCTCATTATCATGTTGCCTATTACTTTGAGAGTGAACTGTAAAACGGAAATGATTCAGTCCACTTTCCAGATAAAAATTAACCAGGAAATTTGCTTTACCATATTGAAAACTCAACTGAAGAAGCATCTTCAAGGACTAATACTGTTGACCCAGGCCATTGGTCTAGTGTTTCAATTGCCTGACGGTTGATAAAGTATAAGTATTTTTTCAAACCATCAATAAAATGGGGTTTAGCTATCAGGCGTCTAAATCAGAACATAAAGAATGTTTCATTTGGTTACGCATACCAAAAGCAAATTGTATTTGCCAGAGGAGTTTGAACAACTTTTCGCCTATTATAGGCCAACCCTAGCTACCAGGGATCCCCTCCATTGCTTTTGGTGACAGCCATATATGCATTAAGCGGAAAGCTGAGAATACAAATAGGAACACGAGAATGTACTCTGTCAGCCGAATAAGGAAAAAGGAAAGGTCAGAAAAATAGGAAGAAAACAAATGCTAACTCTCTGTATACAGATTAAAGTTGGGTCAAAACAAGATCATGATAGCTAGAAAAACTACGTACTTGCATAAATAGCCGTTGGCTTAGACATCAACCCGGTTTTGTTTTCTGGTATAAAAGAGAATGCATAAACTGGTCTTTGATTATAATCTGAAAGCAAACATAATTTAAATCATTGAAGACATAATCGGAATAATCTGAAGGAAACTTCAGAAATAAAACTGTTTTCCTTTGTGGTTAGTAAACATTTACTTGCAAATACTCGATGGTTGTATAATTTTGAGCTTTTGACTGTGACATGTATGTTTTTTTATCAGTGGATGGACGAGACTTTAAACAAATTGAAACGCTTTGCTGCGTAATAATAATATAACATGCTGAAAATAACTAACAAAATGTTTCTTCTATCATAGAAAATATACATTCCTTGTTGAGGATCAGATGATCAGGAATCTTTGAAGACGTGTTCCCAGACATAGAGCGTTTTCCAAGGTATGCTCTTCATCTTGAAGATATCATCATATTCCAAGAATTCTTCTCAAGTATCTTGGTCACCGGATTAGGTTTTTTTTTTTTCTTTTCATATAAAAAAAACTCCTGACATCATTTCCATTGCCAGTCCAGCCTGTTCCAGATTTGTTTTAAAACTGTATTATACCAAAAAGATTTTCAATTAAACTCCAGAGTTACATCAGTATGGATAGTCTTGCTCATATAAAAGGGCCTGCTGAATATGAATTCTTAAACTATTAACTATCATACTAATGTAATGTTATACCAATATTTGTATGCAACAATCAGCCAGCCACGCAATTGAATGAATAAAAAAGATAAAATAAAACAAAGGGGCACAGTAACAAAAAAAAAAAAAAACCGCTGATCCGAGGAAAGTGATTATGGTTAAGGAAAAGAATCTAATTGAAAACTTTACAAGCGCAAATATAATCTAACAAGATTTGCACGCTGGGATACAATTCTTTGATTTTATGTTTGAAGTCGGGACAGTGATTAATTCAAATTCTTTCCCCCTTAGCCTCGGGTCTGCTAATATACCAAAAACACTTGCTGTGCAAAAACCATTAGGGGTTTCCTTTCCTTGGAATACATATTCATACATCAAAGTTATATACCATCTCCAGTGGATAATTATTCTATAGAAATAAAGATTAGTTACAACATCATTTAGCTATCAATTATGCAATAAAATTAGACCCTAATCTCCCTAAACAACACATTGAAATACATTTCTACTCCAATGGTGATAAAGCCATACGTGAAGTGACACTGACACAAAGGGACTGATCCGACTGACACTCTTTCACAACCTTAACCTGCAAGGCATACACATACTTACATGTACAAGATGCTATCTTGAACGAATTTTCTTATGTTTTCCAAGCATTAGCTTCAAACTAGAAACTAAGCCCTCTGGTTAAAATCCAAGTGACGCTGTCCATTGAGAGTTTGGTTGTTGGTGGATGACTGAGGCATCTGTAGCTGCTGCTGCTGTTGGATGGTCTGCTGGACAGCAAAGTGATGTGGAGTGGGTTGGTGGGGTAAAAATTGAGGAGGTAGTCCTCTATTGAAAGGATTTCTATTCATAGCCGACATTTGACCAGCTTGTATCTTAAGCCGTTGCACTTCTTCCCTCAATGCTTCATTCAGAGCTGCAAACCATAGAAAAATCAACACTAAATATCTATAGGAATTGGTTATGCTATAATGACAACATCTATTTGTTAACTCCATGGACCTGATTGATGACCTACTAGGATTGGTTATGGTATTATTATGACAATGTCTATCGGGCAGCTGAAAACCATATGGAAACAAAAATGTGACATTTTTTTACATGCCATATTAACTAAGTCCTTTTCTTTACACTTCTAAATTTATGATTTATTTCATTAAATTATGAAATGCACTGGACCCACATGATGCAATAATGGCAGAGTTTCGATGGTTTTATCAACTCCATCATAACTGATGATGGACTACAAAAATGCAATCACTTTCATTTATGATGCTCCCAGCCACCACCAGTATAATTGCAGTATGTAGTGCAAAAGTGCGAAAAGCATGCATACCATCTCTTAGCTGTGCTTCTTGCTCCATAGCCTGTAGCCGTAGTTTGAGTTCCTTATTCTCAGTGGTCAACCCAGTAGTGTCTCTCTGCATCATAGGAGAAATATATTAGAATTGGTACCCATCCTTCATGTGGGTGCATTAAACAAATATTTGAGCCTCAACGATGCAAGGCAGGTGCTTTCAAGGTTAGCAACTTCAGCAGAAATTAGCGGATAGGACTCTACAAATACAGTCATATCATTAGGTGCATGATAACTAAGCAGTCCCCGTGAGAACCACATCAGGTAAATAGTGCAAACTAGACAAAGCAAATAAGTAAACAGAAATTTAGGCAAGGAATCTGCAGGAGCAACCAGCAAACCGATCATCAATCAACAATTTAGGCAGACATGACTATTGACACGTCAACCAAAGGAAGCCATGTAAAGTACACATGTATGCTATTCCTTCTTCAAAAAGCACATTGATTAGATTAATACTTTATGAATTTACAACTGGATAACTAACAAAGGAGGGCTAAAAATAAGATGATTGAAAAAACAAACTTCTAAGGATTTTATAGTATTACTAGAATTATATTTTATATGATCAACGATAATATTTATATTCAGCATATTTTAAATTGTTTAGGTTATTTTAGACTGATTACCAGGTACTTATCTCATTTCAGTTTCCAGGAGCTTAGGTTCATTGAGAAATTATGAAATGAGATTTTTCACTAGCTATCTCTTTTCCTTCCATTGTTTCTAGATTTCTAGCAGAGTTTCCTCTATTTCTTTCTATCATTTTCCCCCTCTGATTTCCCTCTATTTACTTCTTTCTTCCTCTTTCCTAATCCAGTGCTACATCTGTAACTGATCATCTATGGAATCTTATAAGAAACCACACTGATATGCTTGATAATAACCAGTAATATGTGGAAAATAAAGCGGAAATTTTCAAGTACATGCTTGTAAGAAAATTTAAAGGTTAAAATACCTGTAGCTAGAAAATATCAAAGTAATATCTCTTTGCACTAAATTCATTTAAAGACAACACTAGGTTCCTGAACTAACTATGAGGTTGAAATACTAATAGGGAGGCAGATCAGAAGGAAGATCTGCAAAGGGAAATAGTGTTGTTTTGTTTTAGGAAGCATTTGGATGAACGGTGAAATTAATTTCGGTGAGATTGAAAACAACGATTAAATAAAAGTGAAATTAATTAATGTAATAGTGAGATTGGTTACTATAACAATGAAATTAAAATCAGTAATAAGATATATATTTGGATAGCAAAACAAATGTAGGGGTGAGGTTAAGTCTCATAATTAGAGAAAATGACTATTAAGGATATTATATCAAAGTTTGTATATAATGGAATTTTTACACATTTATAAAGTTAATAAATAATTAAAAATTACTAAATTTTTTATTTTAAATAATAATTTGGTAACAAATAATTGAAAATTAATAAAAATAATTATTTTAAAAAAAGAATGATAGTAATATATTTCATAAATTAATATTCAATTATTTATTTTTTCTTATTTTTCTATATATTTTTAATTTTATTTACATTTTAAAATCTTAAAAATTTTTAGTCACTCAAAATATTGATACATATTATTTCATTTTAAAAATGATCATATATTTTATGATAATTTATTCAATTATTTTTTACTTATTTATGAATTTATTTATATTGTTAGAACTTAAATATAATAGTAGGGTCATTTCCTATCAGCTTAAGCTTTTGAGATAATTGGTTATCCAATTTAACATGGTATTAGAGCTCTTGAATTAGGATCTTAGAAAACAAAACCCTTTTAATATTTCTTCACCTAGTGTTTTGTTGCCCATTGGAGTGGGCAATGCTTCTTTAATTTTTCTTCAATTGGTTACCCAATTTAACATGGTATTAGAGCTCTTGAATTAGGACTTTAGGAAACACAACCCTTTTAATATTTATTCACCTAGTGTTTTGTTGCCTATTGGAGTGTGCCATGCTTCTTTGATCTTTCTTCAGCTAGAAATTTTTTCAATACTTGCGTTCTAGGGCAATCCACACGCACCCTTTTAGAGATGTATGGGGCTGAAGTTAAATCCCAGTCCAACCTACACAGGCATACCCCCTTTAATACCAAAAGTGGTGGATATATAGAAATGTACAAATTTAAGCATGGAAAATTACTCCTACTGAATGCAGATAGAAAAGGTACACAACTATTTCACATGCATTTCGATTTTTTCCCCATCTTATTCAAGGATTCATCAATGATTTTTATATAAGGTAACTAAGTGTATCAGAAATAGAATTTGTAAAATAAAATACACAATGGAACTTCTCAAAAGGTGCAAAGTAGCTAGAGATACTGGCAGCATTAATTAGATTAGATGGAAGCAATACAAAGCCTTAATTACATTCCACCCTAGTTCCAATGAAGAGAATTCTATGCATATATACGACAAAGAAGTATCTTGGAAGTTGATTTTTCCCCTTAAATTCAAGTTGGTTTGAGAGGAAGAAATTAAAACTACAACTTATTAGCAGTCAAATAAATAAAGTCCCCAATGAGAAGGATAAGGTCTCCAACAATAATTATGATTATCACATATGCGATCTGACCTATAAATGAATCTGCAAGCATGCGTCTCATGCATATAATAATATTTATATAAAACTTCGAACCGGTGGCTATGCCAAGGTCTAATTAAGATAAAATCAGCGAAGAGCAGACTTTAACAGTGGAAATTGGAAAACCATGTCTAAATGATTGAGGTATTATTGTATTATAACAAGTAAAATAACCAAAAAAAAAAAAAGTGAACATTTGAATACATGAACCCGGAAAGTTCAAATTCTAGAAAGGAGCAAAAGATAAGATTTTGGAGGTGTGAACTGTAAAGCTAAACCAAAAAGGCATAAGGTGCATTTACCTGTAACATTGTGACCTGTGCGGAGAGATTGGTAGCTTCTGTCTGAAGAGTCTGAACCTTCTTCTCCAGCTCATTCGTGTATCGAATCTTCCTCTCCTTTGAACGCGCAGCCGATTGCCTGTTAGCCAGAATTCTACAACACAAAACAAACTTCATTACATTCATAAGACAACATATTTTCTACTACTGATTTTTTAATTTAAGGAAAGTAATTACTATACTATATTAAAAACAAAAGACAAAAAAAACAAAAAAAAACTGAAAATTAAAAGAAATAAGAAACTAGGGGGAGGATTGACCAAAGAGGCAAAACACAAACTTGACTTCGGTGAATAACAAATCAAAACTCAAAGAGAAAAACAAAATTAAGGAAACAAGAAGAAGAAGAAAAACCATATAATTACCTTTCTTTTTTTAATCAACTAATAATGAATTGTTGAAAAAATTCGACATAATTTAATTTAACTTAAAAGAGAAAAAAAATAGTAGCAAAAAAAAAAAAGAAAAAGACTATCATGGGAAAATTGCACCTTTTAGCTCTCTTGGGATCAATAAGGGCAAGCTCAGCGAGTCTATCAGGAGCCATAGCCTTCTTTACACCATCAACGGTCATCAAAGACTCAACCTCAAACGACGCCGTAGTCGACCCATCCATCGAGTTACTATGTCTATGGTGAACTCTCTTCTCTCCCACCCCTCCTTTCCCGCCAAATTTCTCATCTCCAGCTCCTGCGGAAATAGCGGGTCCAGTCAACCCGAATCCGTCGAAGAAATCAGAGTCAACAGAAAGACTACGGAGGTGGGAAGAGTTATGCCTAGGGTTACTGTGGGAGGAGCGAGGGGGGTGGCCGTTGGACGAGGAGTCGTCGGAGGAATCGGCGGGAACGGGGGTAACGGGTAGCGGAGTGGGATTGGAGGAGGAAGGTGGGAGGTCAAGGGAGGAAAGATCGAGGTCGGAAGGGTCGAAGAGGATAAGATCGTCGAAACGGAAAGTTGTGTCAGAGTGCGCCCGCCTGTGGTGAGCTCCACGTGGAGGCATTTGGTCTATCTCTACACGCAGTTTTTTCTCCATCTTTTTTGAGTAGAAATAGGCGGAAGATACGGCGGCAGCTGTGGTCCGGAGGAGTAGATTAATTTTTTAGTATCAATTATTATTTGAGTTGAAAAGTGCTGAGAAATATAAGCGAGTTGAGAGCATGGGGCGGAGGATAAAGGGTTGTTAGTTGAAAAAAGAGATATACGTACCAACAGGGTTGAACTAATTTAATAATAATAATAATAAGAAAACTTTCTATTTTATTTATTTATTGGAATCTTTTTTCTCTCTCATTTTTCTTTTTTATAAGTGTATTTTGACCTTCATTTAAATTTTTTTTATTTTTAATTTTTTTTAGGACTACTTAACAAAATACTACTAGTATTTTTTAAGAAAAACTCCATTATCGAAAAAAGAAATTTTCATTTTTTTGAGAAAAAATTCATTAAAAAATCAAGGTGCATGCTTTTAAAGTAATTATATTTATGTATTCAATTTTTACAAATAAAATTAAGAAAAACTTGAATATACATATAAAATAAATTTTGAGATTTTGAATTCAGAAAGAATTTAAAAAATTTTTTTAAAAAAATTTGTTAATAAAACTCTAAATTTGCAATTAAGATAAATTGGAGAGGTTGCATCCGATAATTAGGGATTTTTGGAGCTCTAAAAGTTTTCGACAAAAACAAGACTACAGAAATAAAGGTGAGATGGAAAGGCAGACTGACATGATGGGTCTACAGAAGTTATGCTCCTTGGACTTTTGTACATTTTTTTTCTTGTCATTGCTCTGAAATTTCTTTCTTTCCCTAACTCTATAGTTTACAGCACAAAGATTCTAAAGATATTGATTTTTGACCAAAACAAACAAAAAATCATAGTAAATTGATTAATATATAATTTAGGTATAATGATTGAGATTAGTAGTATAAAATATGTTAACGTTTGCTTGGGTGCAAAATGGAAGTTAAAGTGAAACAGCAGCGTGTGGGCAGTTGGCCTCTGGCTTACGTTATTCATCCTTACATTGGTAAATGGCCACCGTGTTGTGCACGAGCACCAGCAACAGAGTATCAACTTTGTTTTTTCTTTTCTATAATCGCAAAAAAGCATGGCACGTTAGGATTTAGGAATACATTGCAAAAAAGTGGAAATTGGTTTTTATTTTTCTTTTGTAAAGGTTATTAATGGCATAGATTAAAATCGAAACCGGATAATTGATCAAATCGTTCGAAGCTGTAATTCGGTGTTAGAATCGATCTGATTTTAGTATTGGATTGATTTTATAATTGATTCATGGAGAACCGTCTGGAGTTATCGATTTAATTAAAAAATAAATGAACCAAATATTTTTATTAAATCGGATAAATTTGAAATATGCTTATAAAATTATTTTAAAATTATAATTAAAATTAGTTTTTCAATAAAATGTATAGTTAACTTATTATTTAATTATTTATTAAAAATAACTTATTTTAAATTTTAACAAGTCAAAATTAAAGATAAATTACAAGTTACAAACTTACAAAATACAATTTATTTTCAAATCAAATATTCACAGTGTTCTGAGGGTATATTTTCTTTTTCAATGTTAATTTCTTTTTGCTTATATTATGTCTTATATTTTAATTTTTTAAATATCAAACTATTTGAAATATGATTTTTTTCATTTATCATATTATTGGTTAATCTATTTAAAGTACTTATATTTTTAAAATATTTTTATTGATTTGATAATTAATCTAAATGATCTAACAATAAAATGAATGATATAGTGATTTGGTATCTTAAAGTACGGATCATCGTTGTGTTAAATTCTAATAAATATTTGATGAGTTTTTAGAATCTTATAATACCATAAAAAAAGTGAGTTTTTAATTTCGAGATTTTGAGTATTATTGAGAATTTAACATTTTTCTCCTTAATCAAATTACTTTGAACCAAACATGAGAATCAAATACCCATCATCAAGATTCTGGAGGAAAATTTATAGATTTTTCTAAACCAAATGCACTCTAAAGGTTTTTTTAGTTGCAAATTCTTTTAGTTGGCATTGATCAAATTAACATGAAAACAATTCTACCACTTACCTAAAAAAAAATATTGCTAAAAAAACAATTAAGAAAAATTTGTATTTGCAATAGTCAATAGATCTTGCTTTTAGTTTTGAAGATTGATAAGAATGCAACCTGTCATAACATTAGGTAAGCAAGCAAGACCTACTTCTTAGGTAAAAATGTTAACATAAGCCTACAACCTTATTTGCCTCACCAAACATCTAATTTATCAAAAGATTTGAAATTGCTTAAAATGTAATGCTATATAATATAGACAAAAAATTACAACATGATTTTGGCCAAGAATTCACAAAATTAGTAATGTTGTAAGCAAGTTGCCATAGTAAACAGCATTAGAAAATCATAGTGCTTAGCATGATACTAATTTTTCTTCAATTTTGTGAACATAAATATGAGTTAAAATGATGTCAAAAGGTTTTAGAAATCATAAATACAATGTAATTACATTTATCTTAATTTTTAAAATACTTTTGCTTAGCCTTATAGCATTTTTATCTTTCTTTTCGATATTATTATTGTTACCTTTTATACACATAAAAGTAGATTTAACTTAACCAATTATTTAAGGGTTTTTCCTTTTGTGTCGTTTATTTCCATACGTGCTAGAGACATAATGGTGAAAACCATTTAGTTGTCTAAGTAATTAAATAGCCATAAAATTTTCTTAGAAAACCAACCATCAGTAACATTGGCAAGATTGTTTTATTGTAATTAAACTTTTTATTTGTACATAAACAAAATTCATACTCATCTTTTTTTTTTCCTTAGAAAGTTAGAAAAGAAAACTTATTAATGCTGGAGATGTTTGCTAAATTTGTCTTCAAAATGTTAAAGATTTGTAGAATTTTATTTTTAATATGTATAAAGAAAGTTGCTACATATTTTGACACTCTATCCCTCAATGCAATTCTTCTATAGATGGGGGAGTACATGTTTTAGGTCAAATAAAAATGTGTGACTGAGAGTTACCTTTCTATATATATTGAAAAATCTACCAAAATCCCTCTGAAAGGTAAGTATAGCGGTGCCATAAAAGATAATTCAAATATATATGGATTTTGAAATATTATGCTGTTTAGTTTAAAGCTAACATCAGAATCCATTAAGGTAAAATATTATTGATTGCTTAAACTAGTTTATAGACTATCTTCTTTTTCTTCATTACCACCAATCATCTTCTTTCAATTCCAAAATATTATTAAACAAAAAAACTAACCCATATCTTGGGCCTTTTCATCTTATAATCTTTTTTTCATTTTTATACAATACGAGAATTATTGATTTAGATACGAATTAAGCTTTTGTTTTTTAATCTCTTCCATATTGAGAAAATTACTCTCATGTAGATAATTGGCTTTTTTTTTTCATTGCATATAAATAATCACTTGTATTTTAATTTGGAGTTTAGTTCAATTGGTTCATGTAACTACTCTTAAGAGATGACATTTAGCAAGTTTGAAATTCAAATCATAGCACCTACAATCCCTTTTTCTATGCTAAATTACTACCTCTTTTGTAAAAAAGAAATAACCACTTATATTTTACTAAAGTAGTTAGATGGAGTCTATAGCTTATTGATTTAATTGTTAAGAAATCTTAAAAATATATGGAAGATGAAAGTTTGAACCTTATCATCCCAATCCCATATCATGTGGATAAAAAAATAAAAATAGTTAGATGGATGATGGATTGAATATAAATTTTTATACTAGAATTGTTGATCTTTCTATGTTAGAAAAAAAAAATTGTTGGTGAATTCAACCATTTGAAAGTTAAGGTGCATGAACAATAACAAGATTTGTCACTCTCATAACCTAATTAAACAGTTGATTAAGTGATAAACACATACTTACCAAACAATAAAAATTTTAGGAGTTCTTTGGCATTACCTTTATATAATCCATTTATTCTATACAAAGTTGCACTTTCAATCTTTAGCTAGATAATGAGTATATATTTATGTGGTTTTTATTCACTTTTCAAATTATAATTTTAAAATTAAAGCATAAATAAATAGAACTCTTAAAAAAAATTTTCATTTATGAATGATTAAATAATAACACTAGATAAAAATTTAGAGCACCTCAAATTTTCTTAAGATACAAGTAAATTTCAATGTGGTATTTTGATTCAAGAGACTAAGAATTAATTAAGTATTTTATTTTTTAAACCATAGCAATTGAAGTACTTAAAAAGTATGATGAGAATACCAGATAATATGGATAAACTTCATCATTTTATCTGATATTCTCATCAAAGTAAAATGAAATTAGTAATTTTGTTTGTATTTAAAAGTTTAGGTGATAGAAGGCTATCTCATTCCAAGGTCAAATCATGTTGCAAGATTTAGCAAGGATTTACAAATTATCCATTAATAGAAATTGCTAACAACAAAAATTATACTTAGATATTATAAGCGAAGTATATGATTTTTACCAATTCAACCAATTTGTTAGAAAAATTAGTAATTTATAATAAAGTATTAATAGTACTAAATGTCAAGTTGTTTGATTATTAACTTGTTTTTTAGTTTGGTAAATTAATTTAAAAGGTTTTTGGGTGAATATAAATAAATTGTTATGTTTTGGGTTATGTGTGTGGTTGAGTTGTTATTTTAGATAGTTGCAAGACATCTTGAAAGAGTTTATGAGAGAGTTATTAGGTGTAATGGGTTTTGGCATTATATAAGATAGTAAAAGAAAAAAGAATTGGTGATTGTAATCTTGAAAGTTTATTAATGAGATTTGTGGAATCTATTTATAAGATCTATGTATTCTTTTGTTTATTTATTTACTTTTACTTTGGTAATTGGTATTTATCATAAAAGTGGAACCAGAGCTCGAATGAAGACAAATGGGGATAAGATACCATAATAATTTGTATCAAAACTTAGTTCAACACATATATGATAATTTGGTGAAGATAAAGATGAAGACACATAAAATAATATCAAACTTTTATTGCAAGTGGAGTCAAATATGTTTAAAAATTGATGATTTAATAAAATTTGAATTAAGATGAAAATTATTGTGAATCATGACTTGAATCCCAAATATTTAGTAAAAGATATTTTAGAGATATTTTTGGATTCATTGGTAATATTGTTTGATGATTAAGTTTTTTTTTATTGGTAAATGTATGCTTATAAATAGAAAGAGTCTTTATAGGATGAGGTATGTGATATAAGATGTAATGAGGGTTATAAGATTTTATGAGATTAAATGTGTAGACATTCCATGTGACTAAAAGAGAATGAAAGTGCCTGTAGATATAATTTTTTTTATTGTTTTAGGTTTGAGTTGAGATTATTTATGTTTATAAGTTGAGGTTGATTTGTTTGTTAGTTTGAGAATGAACTATAAGTTGATT